TTGATTAATTAGTTAATAAAATGATTAAAAGTTTGCCATAACAAAGAATTCTTAAATATAAGATTACTACAATAAATAAATTTTTGCAAATAAATATGATATAATAAATATGATTTTCCTATGTTTTGAATAGGTTTCACTGTATTTGTTTAAAAATTGTAATATATAAGCTATATTTCTTCAGTTTTTATATTTTGTAATATTTTCAATTTTTCTCCAAGATGTTTATTTAAATGTATTCTAATTTCTTGTTGATTGCTACATCTTTCACCACATTCAGGACACTCAGGATCTCCTTCTCCATGTTCTCGTTTGCGATGTTTAGATCGATTATTGTAAGTAGAAAATGATTCACCACAATCTGGGCATTGATAAGGTTGCTCACCTGTATGTTTCCTGCGATGATGATCTCTAGAATCTTTTCTTCTGAAACTCATGTTACAATATTCACAAACAAATGGTTTTTTACCAGTATGTAATAATACATGATTGTATAAAGACTTGGTGTCATTAAATCCTTTTTCACATTGTGCACATTTATAACGTCTTTCACCATTATGTTTGCTCTTAATGTGATTAACTAGAAGTTGTTTTACTCTATATGTAGCATTACATATGTCACACTGATAAATTGGATCTACTCTTCCTTCATGTGCTCTCTCTTTATGTGCTTTTAAAGACATTTGATGTTTAAATTTTTCATGACATTCTGCACACTCATACCATGGTTTTTGTTTAGTCAGAATTGGATCCTGATTATTTACTTCATGAACTTCTATCATATGATATTTCAACATACGATATGTTGGAAAGTCTTCTAAACAAATAGGACATGTAAATAATTGCGGTAATGTTACACTTTTATCATTTTTCCAATGTTTTTCTAAATGTTCATTCATATTCTGTTTTTTACTAAATGACTTATTACATACATTACAAGTATATCTATTATGAGAAAAGTGGATTTTTCTATGAAGTTTTAAAGCATTAGTAGTTCTACATCGTTGACCACAAATATCACATTGATATGGTCTTTCACCTGTATGAATTCGATGATGTTCTTTTAATCTAGCTTTCAACTGAAATGATTTACCACATAATTCACAAATGTGAGGTCTTGCTCCTTTATGAACAAAAAGGTAATGCTCGTACAAAGAATTTTCCGCCCTAAAATCTTTTCCACAAGTACTACAAATAAATTCATTCATATTTTCATTATGCCTCATTTCATGAAATTCTAATCTTTCTTTTCGTACAAAATGTTTTGGACATTTAGAGCAATGGTACTGACGTGGAGAGATTACTTTTGTTTCATTTCCATCTACCATTAAAGAAAGTGTAGAATATTCACAGGTAGTACATGTAACTAAGTCATTAATAGCATCTGGATCTAAGTCTGAAATCAGTTTACCACAGAGATTACAGTTTACAGAAATTCTTTCTTGTTTTGTTGTTACTATAGCCTTTTGTATAACATCTTCACTAATACCTTCACTAGTACTAATTTGTATTTGTTTTATACCAAAGTGCTTATAATTTTTTTGGTGACCATTTAATCTAGATCGTTTTGTAAACAATTTTCCACATTCTGTACAAATATAACGCTGTAAACTTTTATGTGTGTGAAAATAATGATCCCACAATAAATTTTCACTACTTGTTTCTTTATCACATATTGTACACTCATATTTATGTATTTTATCTAATTTGTGTCTTTCCATATGAAATTCATATTTCAAATGTGAAAGATAGCGTACCCCACATAATTTACACACATATTTTAAACAAGATCTATATACATCACTTTCTTCTTGAGCATCATTTTTTTCAGGTATAATATTTTGTGATTCAATTATATATGTGTCCTTTTCACTTTTACAATCAGTCTCACTGTCTAGCCAACAAGTGTTATCACTTTCAGCTTCATTTTTTACTAATGGATCTGTAGAATCATAATCATAGTTCAATAAATTCTCATTAGACACATACAATATTTCTTTCAGTTTTGATATTTTTGATAAATGAACAGAAGAGTCATAAGAATTAGATTCATTGAACTTTCCTTCTAATTTTTTGTGTATTTTAATTTCTGGGTTTTCTTTCTCAGACAATGTATCAATATAATTAAAATTTTCTTCTTGTTTTAATACAGGTAATGTAAGACTTACTTGATTAGATATATTTTCAATGTCTTCTATAGCTGTTTTATTTCCATGTTTTAAATGTATATTATTTTTTGTATTATTCAGAAGTATTATATTTTTATGTACTTCTACGTTCTTTTCCTTCATAAGATGTTCTTTCTCAGAATGATTTACCTTTGCTAATGAGATTTGGAAGGTATAATCACAGCCTTGTGGATTACTGACTAATAAGATCATTAAATCTACATTACAATTTGGGCATGTATGTACAGCATCATTATGAATTTGTGAAAAGTTTGTTACTTCTTTAGATGTATATGTATCAAAGAAACATTTTACTTGTGATGTATTTTCTAATTCTTTAGAATATTCCACAACTTCTTGTATAAATTTGTAATAAAGAATGATTTTGTCATAACACGATAAGCATATGCACTTTGAACCATTATCATTTATAGATATCTGTAAAAAATTATTCAAAGTAATATATATTAATAATACCTTTTTTACATGCATTAGTAATGATTATAAAGTGTTTTTGTAATATATCTTGTTACATAATTACAAACTTGTTACAATAAAATATTTTATCAATCATTTAATTTCAATAAGCTTTGTGATTTCCAAGTAACAGAAGATAATTTAATTTTTATTTAATATATTAACATACTGAAATTGGCAATATTTCCTTTATTTTATGTATTAAATCAGCTGATCCTTCGAATATGCTTTTACATTTTCCTTCTGCAAAATTTACACCACATAAACGACATATCAATGTATCCTTCAATGTATCCATAATTGAATCTCTGAAAAGTTTATTATTAAAAATAACATGCGATATGTAAATTATTGTTTTTATTAATATGCTTAAATTATAGAATAACGATTTGAAGTTTATTAAAAATGTATCACACTCTCTAATGTTATACTTACACATAGTTTTAATGAATTGTTTGGTTGAGGTTATCATACCTCTACACAGAAATAATAAATAAATTTAATTATCTACATTAATTACACCCTATTTATCTTACAATACTACTAAATACTATATTTTCTTTAATAATTATTTAGTATATTTTTATAATTTTATATTTCATGAATAACATCTGACAAGTTGTTTATTCTTAATTCTATCATGCTAAATTAACCTTCTTCATGTAAACCAATGAATATATGTTCTCCACCGAAAAAAGGTTACATGAAAAGGTAGACTTTAAGTTATTATTGTATTAAAAAGAATAAATTGTAAAGATGAATTACACACAATTGGTTTACATTCTATTATTGTTGTACACTCGCCATAGTGTAATCCCATGAACCCAGATTAACTATATCTACTGAATCTCATCCATTTATGCCGAATCCCTAGAACTAAATAAACGCACGGCAGTTGTTCTATGTGAAATGGGATACGATACGTATGATAGCGAATAGCGTCATGTGTATATACACTTCATGCGAAACTTTATTCTTGAATTTCAAACATATCAACGACAGTTACTTCAAATTTGTTTGCCTGTATAAAGAATGTACATATAAAAACAAGTTAAGAAAAACAATGCATAAAGCAAATATTCATTATTTATTAGAAATATTTTTAAATGTTACAAATTACGTTCATGTGTAAAATATTTGCGTCGCAAATGGTAGTATTATGCCACCAATTTGTTTAAACATAAAAAAAGATATTCCAATAATTCCTATGCAATAATACATTAATACGAAGCTAAAAAGATATAATTTAAATATACCTCGGCTTTTTTATAGATTCATCGTTTTCTTGATCTTCCTCTTTATAATCCAAAAATAATGTACGATTCAACTAGAAAAAAGACAATTGATACGTAATAAGTGATATTATTTTAAGTAATTATCATTTCAATTAATTGTGAACTTACGTTCTTTAAATCTTTGTTTTGGCAAATTTCTGGATTACAACTACAGTTACTACATATAGTTTTATTTTTACGACATGTACAAACGCGTGTCGAACACTTCGTTTTACAACCACATTTTATATCTCCATCAGATGTTCGTTTCGTTGTTCTGCGATCAAGTGAATAATTTTTTGTTGCATTCTAAATATAGAAATTGTAGAATTATTAATACAATACAGAATTTTATTGTTCCTTTTTATTTTAATGAATTACCAAAAGTTTTTGAATACGATTATAAAGTGGCGTGTTTGTCCAATCCGGATCTTTTTCGACATCATCATCTGTAATAATACTGTCGTCTGTTGGAGGGCATTCATCTTCTCTCGTTACCCTTTCAGAAACTTTTGATTTTAATTTATTTTGGCTGTTGTTGGTCTTTTTCAAAACCTGAAAAATTCATGAAACAGTTATAACATCTTTATTGGAAATCTTAGTAATGAAATTTGTTAAGATGTACTAACTATTTTCTCCAGCTGTTGGCATTCTTCTTGATAAGACTTCAAATCTTCCTTCAGCTTAATGTTTTCTTCAGTTTCATATTTTTTAACACTGCATGTGTTATTTATTGCAAGTTGCTTCGACATGCGTCTTTCTTTCTCTTTTGCGCGATACTCTTCCAATTGTGCTTGTAATAATTCATATTTCTCCTAAAATTATATTTGTTATTACATCAATAATAAAACATATAAGTTAAAAATTACTGTCAAATTAAAATAAAGGAATTAAGTATATTACAGTAGTTCCGTGTTAGCTGGCCATGGCTTGGGACCATGTCTAGTCAGCTATCAAGGAAGGTAGAGTTTTAGAAAATTCCGAGTATTGTTTCTTCTCTACTGAGTGCGAGTGAAATACGGACACCTAATATGAAATATATATTGAAATCCTCCATAAAGCCAGGTCCAAGAACTGGTAGGGATAACGATGGCCAGCTAACAAGGCAAAATCCCGGCCAGCTAACGCAGCTCTACTTATATTAATAGAATATACAAACCAGAAGTTCATTGTACGCGGATTCTTTTACACATTGTTTTCTTCTATCTTCTGCAATGTGCTTAAATAATATTTTAAGAGCAGATCTTGCATCATCCATTGTGTGCATTTTCTGCCACCTTGTATATGTTCTACTTTCTAAATGAACAAATATTTATATGTATACATAAGTACATATTTATATGCACAAATAATTATTATTTAAAAAACAAATTTGTAATCAATAAATAACTTATTTATCTAATTTAAGATACACCTACCTTGGTCCGATTCAACTATTTTTTGCTGGAGATCCGTAATTTGAGCATTACGTAAATCTAAAAATTCCATAAGTTCAGCAATTTTGTTCTCATTTGCATCATCATTGTTTCGAAATTTTTCTAGCATACATGTCAATGAAGCTCTATCTTGCATTAATTTTTCGAGAGAATATTCTGCATCAACAGTGCTTACTAATATTTCTACTTCTTGAGTCAACCAACTTCGAATTTTATCAACATTATTATTCATTTTTTCTTTCCTCATTGTTGATCTTTTTTGTAAATCAAGAGCTTCCTAACAACAAAATAAAGAATAAAATTAATTACTGTTTAATCAAAGTACTGCAGCAAAGATGTAACTTAATTAATTACTTTCAATCTTTTGTTGACAGCAAAAGCTTCTGCCATTTTTCTCTTAAACATGGTTTCTTGTTTACTATGCCACATTTTTAGACGCGATACTTCGTTTATTTGTTTTCTATTTTGATCCTTTAATCTATTTACTTCCTTTTCCTTAGATTCCTTCCATTTTGTAAACTTATCGTATTCATTGCGCATTTGTCTAATTAATTTAACCCTAGTTTGTTTCAATAATTGCATTTCGTTTGATAGATTTTTTATTTGTTGATCTTGTTTCTCTTTCATTTTAACTATTTTATCTTGCTCTGTTACTTTACGTCTTAATTCCGTTATTTTCTTTTCCAGTTCTTGTACCTTTTTCCGTCTACTTTCTGCAAGCCTGAAAAATACACACAACAAATCAAAAAGCTTGAAGAAACAGTAATAAGATAAACAATGCCATGAATGAATTAAAAATAAGCCATAATGTTTGTATTTAAACAAACTCCTTACTTTGAACTAGCATTACTCGCTTGAACATTTTGTACCGCTTGTAAAAGCTCTTCCCTTTCCGATTGAAGTCGTTTTATCTCTTGCTCCATTTCTTGTATCTCTTTTGAATAATCAATTATTTGAGATGAATTCTTTAAGAGTTGACATATAAGACTTTCCTTAATAGCGAGTTCCTTATTGATATTTTGTACTTCATTGTTCCTTTTAACTTGAAGTAAGGTATGTTCTTCATGTTTTTCATCAAAATCGTCTAGACTATCTGGATTTTCAGAACATTCATCTATAGACGCATGTTCTGATTCCTCTGTATCACTAGTTGTGAATAGTTTTGCATTTTCAGATGATATTTCACAATTTATAAGTTCTTCTGATGTTTTCTTCTGATCGTTTTGAATATCTATTTATCATAAATGAAGATATTTTACTAACAATAAAAACAGTATGAAATTTTCAAATGAATAAGAAAGTGGATTATATTACTTACTAAGAATTTTTAAGTATAAAGCTTCTAACTTTGTATAGTACTCATTATGTTTTTCAGAATTTTTATCAAAGACACCTAAGAGTTCTTTAAATTCTTCTAATATTTTCGCCATATCGGCTTGAATTTTCTCTCTAGCTTGTTCAGCTAGTTCCGCCCTTTCATGCATAAGTACAGTTTCAATTAAATTATTATTTAATTTTTCGGTCAGGTCCCTTATCTTCTTTTGCAAAGATTGATTCTTTACTTCAAGTTCTCGATGTTCAATTGGACAAGATGTCCTAAGATCTTGATCCACCAAAGTAAGTTTCAATTCTTGTATTAACTTGTTCAATCTATTTATTTCCGATATCTTTGGATCTTGATTTACCATAGGTTTATTTTTTATTTTACGTGCTCTGTCTGCATATCTTAATGTACTTAATGTTTCATCTAAATTGTAATCTAAAATAATTGCAAACAATACAATTACTTTAGAAATTACTGATTGTAGATTTTTATATTTAGAATAAGCAGACTAATTATAGATTTTATGTTTATATTAACCTGCTGGACTAACACATGCTATCATCAGTGTCATAGAATTACCACCAAGAGAATCTTGCAACAATCTTGTAAGTTTGCTATCTCGATATCCAACATAGGACATAGAACCACCTTCTCCTAATTGAGATATAACATTTCCTAATGCTAATAAACCTTTGTTTATGTTAACTCCTTCCTTAAATCTTTCACCAGTTGCTTGTGTTTTCTTACTACGTTCCGATCCAGCTAAGTCTACTAGATGAAATTTTGATGTTGTTGCTGTATTGCTAATTTATATTGATAAAAACAAAAAAAGAACTAAAATATTTTATAGACATATAAGAACTTTATGCTTGTTTTGTAATGTTCAGACAAAACACTTACGGATCACCTTTTTTTTGTTGATATATGCATAAAGTAAATATTGCATGACTCCTACTACTGTGTGCATTCATTGCTGTAGCACCTGTTGCACGACGTAAAGATCCTTGTGTTAAGCAGTATAATGTTTCTACTGCATTTGTAACTTCTTTTTCAACAACCCCAGCAACTTTTATGTTTTTTCCATCATCTCTAATATCAACAATAGATGCACTTCGCTGTTTATCAACCAATAAATCATATAATTGTTCTTGATAAAGTTCTATAAATGAAATTGTAATTTTAAAACTCCAATCATCCTTTAATGAAATCATATTAAATATATCATATACTGCTCGTGGTATAACACCCATATCTTCTTCTTCTACATAATTTGTACCCATTGAGTGGGTTTTACCACTTCCTGTTTGGCCATAAGCTAGTATAGTAACATTGTAGCCTACAAGAACAA